TAGATAGATAGATAGATAGATAGATAGATAGATAGATAGATAGATAGATAGATAGATAGATAGATAGATAGATAGATAGATAGATAGATAAAACACATTATTTAACAAAACTAAAAGCTTAGATTTCTGCTTCCGAAGTGTTTAAATCATGTAGTAAAATATAAGCGAAATCCCATGCCACATTTACAAAAGTATTACTATCTTTAAAATACAACGAGGTGACTGCTCTGCCCGCACAGTACCACAGGCGCACATTGAGCCCCTGTAGTTCTGCAGGGATACTGTAGCTCATGCGACTTTTCTTTGGGGGATTTAGCGAAGCGTTGATTCTTAAAGAAAAAAAAAGAAAAGAAAAGAGAAAAGAAAAGAAACGTTTAAATAACGATCGTTTCAAACATAATGTTAGGTTTGTGACGATCTGATAGAAAAGCGGGGAGGAAGAGAGAGAGAGAGTGAGTGAGAGAGAGGGAGCGTTAGAGAGAAAGAGGGAGGGAGGGAGGCAGGGAGAGAGAGCAGCAAAAACTTTCCTCTAAAGTTAGCGCGGAGCTTTCACTGCAAGTGAGGCGGGGTTACAGCCTGGACTGAGCCACAGCGGCTTTGCAATGCGGCACCGCAGCGAACCTCCATCCAACTTTGTTATCAGCAACTTCAAATTTCATCTGTAGACTCCAACATGTACTCCCCTTACTGCTTGACACAGGTATGGAAGAAAATCGCCGTTTTAAGGCTCCGGCGCTTTGCTTTTTTCCCTTCCCCCCCGGTGTAGCGCGCCTCCGGTTTGTTTTTACTGTACGTGGTTTACAGTGTTGTGTCGCCTGTCGCGCTGCTACTTGTCATTTGCTGCGTACGAAGGAGCTTTTCCCAACTCTGCTCTCTTTTCCCCGATAGTGTTTAACCTCCCTCGCTCTCTCACTCTCTCTCCCTCTCTCGCGCGCTCTCTCTCCCCCTTTCTTTTTAATGGCACTCCTCCAACGGGCTTTCTTGTGCGTCTCATTGCGCATGGTTTGGAGAGAAAATGGCGCTTCTCCCAAATCTATTTTATATAAAACGGAGGTTGGAGAAAGGGGAAGAGGGGCTGGGTGTCCTGACAGCTTGCGACTAATTCCAGACAAACGGAGGCAATAACCGGTTTTATCCATAAAGCTCATGAACGAGTTTTAATGAAGCTTCTTGAGTAGTAAAATCTTCTCTTTTTTTTAAGGTTTCTAACTTACGGCTGTAGGGTGGTCTGCCAGTTTTCAGCCGCGGGGGCCTTTAAGGGTCACGTAGATGCAATCTTAACTGGATTTATCATATTCTGCAACAGCAGAAACAAAACAAAGTGCTTTATTTTATTTATTTATTTTTAAATGTTTTTTTGGGTTGTTTTTTTTTAGCCAAATAAGAAATTGTGGGCAAGTGTGCATGTGTGTGTTCTCGGTGGTGTCAGATTGATTAATGACAAAACGGAGGTGCCCTTTAAATAAACAACAGAACCACTCCGTAATATTTGCATAATCATTGTATGAAAGTCAGTATAGGTGGA